GCTGATTTCCGGTCAAGTCCAAATTTTCCTATATTCAGAGCGTCAGCCTTATCTAATCTAAGTAGTCTGCTCCTGAGCAACCTACGTTTCTGTTGTGCTCATCACTGAGGATCTAAACTTGCAGTGTCCGAACTGAACAGGGAACCTTTTCTTTCAAGTGCTGAAAGAGTAAAATGTCTGCGAAAATGGTCTGTGGGGCCAGGAAGAAGTGATGAAAATGGCAGATGTTACAAAAGGAAGGGCTCTTTGTTAACTGCCCATCCAAGCAGCTTGATCTCGTCTGTCCACTGGTCACTACATGGGGCCCGGCTGCTGGAAGCCGTTTCTCTGGCCCTGTCACCGGTTCTGCACAGAGCAGGAAAACCCCAGTTACTGGTGGAGAAGCAGAGAAACGTAAGCAATTAGAACTATTTGTAGGATCACGCTGGGTCTAAATTATGCTTTACCTACTTGTCAGATGTTCATGCAAATGACCTATTGTTAATGGTTAAAAGGAGTCCCTGTATTGATCTAATTTTTTGGATTCTGAAAATCACTGGAAGTCTCAGGGGAAAGACACATCACCAAGGCATCTGACTTAGCTTCATGGGAATATTATTAAGAAATACTTGAGAATGAAACTCCAGCTTTGTGATACTTGCCTGGTGGGATCTCATGGAGTTGACTTAGTTTAGGATCATCTGAATTCTCAACAGGAAATTAATTGCAGTTTCAGTCGTTCACACTTAAATGAAGCTATAGGGTGAAATCATAGAATATATGCATCTACTACTAATAAGTAATATGGAGTTTACATTGTTGGTACAAGGGAAGAATATACCGGCATTATAACTGCCAAGTCATCAGGAGCAAAACCGTACGCACAGTCTGTAAAAGGAGGTGAAACAAGAAAGAGTAAATATTTGCTTAAAAGGCTTCAGTCGTAAATATTGGTAGCAACATCTTTCTTTTACATGAGAATAATAGATCAACAAAAGGTTTTTAATTTAGAATGTGCTTAAACACAGATAAAAAGGCATAAATGGATGTGAGCGTTCTGCAGGTGCAAAGGCTGGGTGCAGGCAGAGGGTTGATTTGTCTTGACACACGTCCATAGCGGCTATGGAACAGCTGTAAGCTGCTAGGGGCAACCTTACCCCCCAGCACACAAACCCCACTCTGCGAGCAGAGATGGGCAATCTGGCATGGGCAGAGAATTTGGGCTTGCTGCTTTAGGAACAGGTCTCAAGGTGTTACTGCAATGAATTTATTACTTATGCTCACAGTACAGTTTCTGATGTCACCAAAAAGGCTCCAACCTTTAGTCCGTTACACCTCAGTGACTGCCCTGTGTAAACATCACTGAATCCTTAGTGAAGCACACAGTAGTTGTTTCCAGTTAATTCCATACCAGACTGTAGGCTTTTCCACAAAGCAAACCAGACAGTCTAGCAAACCTTAATTAAACAAAGTCTCAGTTAATCAAGAGGAGAGCTTAGTTTAGATAATCATTTATTTTTGATCTGAAAGAAAAGACATCTGTGCTGTTATCTGAAGTCTGTTATTTCAGTGTGTCAAGATTGGCAGTGGGGTCTTCAGAGCTGTGTGCCATCATGGTACGTACTTGCACTGTTGGGCTCAGGAGGAAAGGCCACGAAACCCTTCTCTATGCCGGTTGGAATTGTTCTGAAGAGACAGAGTCAAGGTTGTGTAAATGTAATTCAGTGTTAACTGAATGACACATCCAAAATTCTGTTTGATGCCAGGGTCCAAGAGGACAACCAGGGGATGTTGGCCCTGTTGGAGAAATGGGTTTTGAGGTGAGCTTTTAATTATTTGCATAGTAATTACAAAAACTCAAGCAACTGAATAAGCCTGGACAGTATGTTTAGAAACTGTTTTAACTATTTTTTTTATTACCTGCAGCTGACTTAAATACCATGAGCTGCTGAGAGATTCTCTTACTTAAAGCTGCTACCAAAAAAAATGTCTAAAATAAGTAGTTTTCTGTTTTGTTTTGGTTGGGGTTATTTGGAAGCACTGTTTTTGCAGTTAGTCAGTACGGCAGCTTTACAATTAATTGTATGTCCTTGCAAACGGTGGATGAAGAAAAGCTGCGGGCAGTCTTCTTCCTAACTTCTGCTGATATGTTTTTTTTTGTTTTTAATATCTCTTGGAAAGAAACATGACAGAATGTATGAGCCACGTTTGCAGTGAGGTAGCTGAGGGACGAGCTCGCTTAGAGCAGAAGCGCTTATCACCCAAATCCCGGTCTTCTGACCGACTATCGAAAGAAGCTCTTAATGTAAACTTTGCAGGAAGCAGTCTGGTGCCATTAACTCTTTAAGGGCAGAAAACGCCAAAAAGAGCTTTGCTCTCCAAAGTCTCTGTCTGCTTGGCTCCAAGCCTAAACAGCAACGGAGCTGTCTGCCAGGTTTACAGAAGACAGATGATTGCTCAGCCTGCCAGTAATTTGTCATGAGAGGTACAGGCGCAGTGGTGCTGCTGAGTCTTCAATACATTCCTGATCCGCAGGGCCGTTCCTCTCCCATGCCCTCCTTTCTTTTCTTCTGCTGGGCTCTAGGAAGACCAAAGAACTGTGCTGTCCTAGTTCTGATTTTTCAGACATTTAACTTTCCCAGTTCCTCATGCCGTTTTTCTGCTTGAATTTTGGCTGTGCTGTTCGGTGGTTGCGGATTTGTTGTTGGTGACCACATGTAGCTCTTGTACCGTGCAGGGACCTCCAGGCCCCGAAGGAGAACCTGGCCTGCAGGGAGAACCAGGCGCAAAGGTAAATGTTGAAATTGGTCTCTCTTTTGTTGTTCATGTTTCCAAATTTCCACAAAAGCGAATCAAAGTGATCCGATTCATGAGCCAGGTAAATAGTGATGCAGGAAATGGGCCATGAGAAATACTGTTATTGTCACGATGACTGCATTATTTGTAAACCCTGTCATTGTTAAGAATAGTGTGCCTTAAAATCCGGTTGTTTATTTTCCTCCTGATGTTCCAGGGAGACATTGGACCTGCTGGGAAGGCTGGAGAACCAGGTGCCCAAGGTTTAAGGGTAAGCTATGGATGCAAATCTCCTTCCAAAAAGGAAAGTATGTTACAGATGTGTCAGAAATGCAGGTTGAGAGACCTTGGTTTATCAGAAGAATTAAATAAGAAGCTATTTTGTGATGCCCTTTTAAAAAATGTAATATTGTAGAGTATTGATTATAACATTAAAATATTTCTATCTGTCTCATGTCACTGAGAGACATGAAGAGTGGTTTCAGCATGAAGGTAAATTCAAGGGTGTCCAGTCTATCTGCAAAGATTGCAGCACCCAGCAGTGCTGTGTGTGGACACTCATTCTAGGGGAGATAATGGAGCGTTATATTCTCAACAGAGCAGGGTATCTCTTTGTACCACCACCTAAAGCAGCTGCTTTGCTTCTGGTGCTGTGGATGGCTCATTTGGCGCTTGATTTTCCCAAGTGCTTCTACCCCTGCTTACTCTTCCCATGTGTCTTTCCCCCCTCATCTGACCCAAACAGTTGCCTACCTTTGAAGGCTGAAGAAACCTTTTCAAGTGCTAGAGGCAGATTTTATCCAGGACACTTTTAAAAGAGCGTAAACAATATAATTTCAGGCTTAAACCTTAAAGCTCTCTTGTTCTGTTAGCTCCCTGCTATCATCTTTTCCTCCTGCCCAAAATCTGCAGGAAGCTGTGTTCCATACCTCTGCCTGTCCTTGGAGAACAGTGATTTCTGGTGCTCTTCCCACAGTGGATGGATGCTCTGGACTTTACCATACTGCTACGTCTGAAATCCTATCCTATCCTATCCTATTAGCTATTAGTATAGGGCAGCTTGTGTTTGGTTTTTTACTGTCTGCATAAAAAGTTGCAAGTTGCCAGTGTCTTTACCTGAGAAATGCAAATATTCCACAATGCCATGGTGCCAATGCTGTTGGTAAACGATGAGGTTTTTCATGGCCTTAAACCGAGTCACTAACCATACCAAAATAGCTGTTACCCACATAAACATGGACGTTTCAGAATGGAGTAGGTACATTTTTGAGGTTACCGTAATTACATGTTGCATACTCTGAAACCCACCCATCTCAGTGCCACTGTCCGAACTGCCAGTGTTACATGTGCATAGCATTTTTCCGATGTTGATCATCTTTTATGTTTTCCTGTGTTCAAGATTCCCAAGTCTGTGACTCTGTCGCTTTAAAGCAGTGAAAAATGGAGACAAATAAACTACAATAGCAAAATAAAAGCTGTCCAAAAGAATAAATGTGTAAAACTAGTCTGAGTTCTCCCGATTTCAAGAAGTTTAGGCAATAACTGTTCTGAACTGTTCCTTTCTATAAGGGTGAACCAGGATCCCCAGGAGAAGACGGTGTTCAAGGAAAAGATGGCCCAAAGGTACATTCAGTTTTTATAGCAGATGGAAAGCAGTCAAATTAGCTTAAGGACCCAAATCTCTTTTTATCTCATGTTGCACCAGCTCAACAGAGCCCAGTTGAGAGCACTTAGTTTTAACACAGGAGGCCCTGTACATTATAGGCTTTCCTGGGCCTTTTGGGCTCATTCCTACCCTGCAAGTGCTGCAAAGTTGAATGGCTCGACAGAGAAATGCAAGCAGGAGAACTGAGCATGGCTTGTTTATGCGATCAATTTATCACAATTAATCAATTGATCAATTTATCTTTATCAGATCAGTGCTGGGCCAGGGACTGTGACAGGTCCAGGACAGGGGATGTTGCAGAGGACACCCTCAGGTAGTTTGTGATGGATGAGGCAAGATCCAGCTGTAAGAGCGTATGAACGGGATAGAAAAAGCTTTACCCTAACTTGGAGACTATCTGAATTTGACTGCTGAGATTCCTATCAGTTTTAGTGTGCTTTTTATCAAACTTGGAAGATTCAGAATTCGTTTTTCTCAAGAACAAGTAATGCTGTAGCAGCAGCTTGCCTAACGTTGGGGGGTCTTTTGCTTTTTTTTTTTAGGGAGACCCTGGAGACCAGGGACTTCCTGGAGAAGGTGGTGAAAAAGGAGAGATGGGGTTACCGGGAATTGCTGGACCCCCTGGTGAACCTGGCATAATGGGCATTCGTGTAAGTGTCTTCGGGTTTAAGAGGAAATTTTGTTCGCTTGCTTTTTTTGTAATTGTTTTCTTTTTAAGCTTGCTTGCTGCTTTTATTTTTTTATTTTCTAATTTCTATTGCAATGAGATACGACCACCTTTAAATCAGCTTGCCTCACTTGTCTATGTGGTTCATCTTTTCAAGGGTGGTAGAGAGAGGAGACAAGTGTTTTTCCTACCTTAAACCTCAGGCCAGATAGTGATGCCCCATCACCTGCCACCCAGACACATACACCACACAACCTGAAGCCTCTTCCTTCAGATCTCTCCTCTCTAGACAGCTGTGTGCCACCAGTCCCTATCCCTGCATTCATTTGAAGACTGAGCAAGCTTAATCTCATTCTTTAGTGTATAAGAATACCCAAAGAAATTGGCAAGATGCACATACTGTCACAAATTGTGATCTCCCCCTGTAACGAGGCATAGACCGGAAAAAGGAAGGAGAGAAAAGGAAGACAGAATTTTATGATTCCATTTTGTTCTTGAAAGGCATTATTCTTTAACTAACTTCATTCTGGTGCCTCTGTGAAAAGATTCAAATAAACATACCACGAGAGCACCGGTTGCCGTAGCTAAAACAGATTGCAGATGGAGAGAAATGGCAGCAAGCATACGCAGGTCAAACAGTAAATGAGCACTGGGATCCATAGATCAGTTTGCGTGGTTATTCTGGCATCAATCCTAGCTGCTGAAATCCACCTATAAAACCTATTTTGCTGAAGTTTTCTGCAACTTCTTACTGCGCACCAATATTCTGGAGCACAGCTTTCAAAGCGAGTATGCAGCCTCAAGTCAGCCATCAGATTCCCTTACCAAAAATCACGTTCCCTCATTCGCAGTCCTCTGGCTGCCTCCTCTGTAGCTGTTAATAAACGTGACGTGGAGGGCCCAGCTGTCAGCGGCTGCGAGCACTGTCCCTGTCCTCTGAGCACCACTGCTACAACTGGGTCTCTTTAGCCTTGGGTTCTTCACAGGAATACTCTGTTAGTGAAGGGAAAACGCTCTTCTAATTGTCAGCACACTTAGTGTGCTACTGAATGATTTTTGTTTCTGATAAAATTATATCACCCTGACTTTTTTTTTTTTCTGGTTTGGGTTGGCAGTTCTGGAGAAGCCCGAAAGTTTCACACATTGAAATTATCATTGAACAGCTCAGCCCTGGCATATCTACGTTATATGTTATTGTACTTGCATACAGTAAACAACATCAGCAGCGCTGATGCCTCAGTGAGACAGGCGGCTCTGGCAATCCCGTGTTTGAGAGGATGTGGTTAGTGGAGGATTTTTTCACATTTCTGCTCCATGCATTCCAAAGGCAGAGCTGCCTTCCTCCCTTCCCATCCTCCCTGTGTCCGGGAGCATTCACATCACAGGTTTTGTTTGACCTCCTCCTAGGGATGCGGACAGATCACATCATCGTGGTCTGAACGTGGAAATCAGTTTCCTATAATCAACTGTCACAGGGTTTTATTGGGGGTGAGAGGAATACTAAGTTGTCCTTAAACAAAAGCTTACAAAGCAACAAATGATCTTCACAAATTAATTCAAACTATATTTACCCTGGCTTATCACCATAATTACTCAAAAAAAACCTCCAAATATATCTCCCTTTATCCCACAACTGATGTTAAATTACCTCTTCTACCTCACAAAGCTTTTGGGTAAATGGAAAACAGTGAGCGATGGGCAGCTCCAGCCCTCTGGGAGGCTCAGTTTTTGGAGTGACCCGCAGGGCAGCAGCGCTGTAGCTTCATGGCACCCTTCACCTGCAGGCAGGTACCAGCACGTACCGAGTTACATCTCTGCTCTGCAGCACCTTGTGCCAGGGCCCTGCTCTTCACAGCCCCAAGGTTTTGTTGGTTTTCCTCTGTATTGTATTCCTCTAAATCCAGGGTTTGCCTTGGAGCTTTTTTATTTCTAGGGTAATATTTTCGGTGTGGACAAGAATTACTGTGTTTTCCCCCTGTTTTCAGTGCAGTTTCACTAGTTTGATAAGTGATTCCTGATGCTTGCCCAGTTATTTCTGCTGTAACCTGAAACAGTCTTGCTAACTTGCTCACAGCCACAGTTAATGAAGTTTTTCCTCCCCGCTCTCTGTTACAAAAGCCTGCTCAGTTATCCAGTTTGGAGCACAGTTTAAACGTGTTTCCAGGGCCTTTCTCAGTAATTTCTTTTTCTCCCCCTAATAAATGTACAGGGTCCTGAAGGAACACCAGGAAACCCAGGTCAGAGGGGCCGTTTAGGAAAGAAGGTAACATTTCTCATCTTCCCCCAGTTGTTTCATTTTAACTGAAACTCAGATTTACAATACAAAATAATTCCACTGAACCAAGTCCATCCCTGTTTTATGTGGTGCTTCAAGCCAACTTCTTTTCTTGCTAGCCATAGCAATGTGAATTGTCATCATTCTGCAGTCAATAATGTTCAGGAACTTAGGAAATCTAAATTTGTATCAGGATGTGATTTTGCAACTCTGAGCGGTTATGCTGCTATCAAAAGATGTTAAGCTTTGGCTAAAGCAAAACACAAAATAGAAAGGCTTTAGGAGAGGTTTGGGTTTTTTCCACTGCAGAGTTCTGGTTTTCAGATATTCTGAGAAATACAGTAAATGACACAGGTAAATGTAATACTTCTGTTTCATAATGCTTATATACATTGGTTAATAATAAATTGTGTTTTTAAACTTAGTATCAATCTCTTGTTGTTTTTAATATCATAACACCAACAGGGGGAAAAGGGGCAGCTTGGCCCTCCTGGAGAAATTGGACCTGCTGGTGACTCTGGCCAACCTGGAAAAACTGGTCCCAAAGGCGCAAGAGGAACTCGAGGTCCCTTGGTTCGTACAAAACATGCTTATCTAGAAGCTCACGTATTTCTGGTTTTGCAGAATCTTTTCTCTCTACGGGAACAGACAAGACATAAATATTTTGTTCTGGTAGCTGTAGATGCAGGCAGTGTCTGTCCCCATTTGTGCCTTGGTCTTTCAGCATCGGAATGAGACTGGTGCCCCTTTCCAGATAGAAGTGTGGGCCATGGACCTGGATGGAGTCTTCTCATGCTCTGGTCAGGTTCCTGGTCTGAGATGCAGAGGAGCAGCATGGCAGGACATGCCATGGAGCACTCATGCCCCACAGTCCACGTACAAACTCACTGCTGTGGCTGCTTCTTGAACCTCTCCAGCTCCAGAAACAGGAATCATGGGGTTTGCTATTACATAAAATAAGGCCCACCCATAGCAGAAACAAAGCATTTCAGATGAGGACTGCTACTCCTATTGATCGGGAACCTGATCCCAAGTTAACTATATTAAGTGTGTTTCCATTAATTTTATGAGCTACTCTCAACACAAGCTCCCCAAGCTCGCTCCACGCTGTGTGGTAGATGCACAGGCACATGCAGCCTCCAAACCAGTGGGGCAGTGTGCTCATCTCACTCTCCAGGGCCCAAACCTGTGGTCACTGAATGCAGCACCGTGAAACACAGAAGTAAAGTAACTGTCTAATGGCCAATGTCTTCAAGAGAAGGACTTGAACTCAGCTTCCTAATAGGAGTTTCACCCTCAGCTTCTCTTGGCATCCTTAGTGTTTATAAACAGAGTTTCTCCATACCTCTGAAAGCTCAGGCCCTTTTGATCTTAATATGCACAGGGATTGTAAGGTTAGGACTGAAAATGTTGAGCGTTTTTTCCAAGAGAATAGGGAAAAGCCCAGTAATCGTTACCAGATTAAGCTGGACCTAACAAGGAAGTTGTCTGTGGTTCTCAGTCTCAGTATTTGAAAACTTTTCTAGGTGATAACTTTATAGTGTGCATTGTTGTAACATTTTACAGGGGAGCTCATTTTTCTGTCACTGGTTATTGCATTTAACAGGGACATCCAGGAGGAATGGGACCTGAAGGAGAGTCAGGAATACCAGGTTATGGGGTGAGTTTTTCACTGCATTCATGTTGACACAGATCCCTCAGGTAAGTCTGTGGTACTCTACATAATTTCACATATCAGAGGGATCTGTATGTAGAATATACAAATATCTTTAGGAGTGTCAGATACTCACATATATTTATATGACACCTGGTTGCCTACTCAGAAATACTAACCTTAAACAATGATAACTGGTTTTTTATGAGTTCACTAGCAGTTGTTTTTACCATAGATTTGAAAGCCTTGTTTTCCAATCCACCCCACTCTTTGTGAATAAAGTTCCTATAAAACTAATGATTATGAAGAGAGTTCAGCAACCACCACCACCTCTGCTTGCTGTCTGGCCAGGCAGTTTCCCTTTCAGCAACAGAACCACTGGTTGAATGAGGTTGGTTGAAGAACATAAAGATACTGTGCCTTTCACTGAAAAATAATCATGATCACCATCATAGATGGATCAAGTCCTGCCCTTGTACATCAGACTGCTCTGTCTTTTTTCCAAGCAGATATTTCCATCAGTGGCCCTAACCCTGAAATGAGAACCAGCCCAGCTCCCCTCCCATCAAGCCCTGTCAGATCCTTGGATTTCCCAATGTGCTCAGAGCTTTTCCTCCACTCAATTTTATGCCTGGGGCAGATAATGTTTTGCCACATCGCTCTTTAGCATTATTAGCAGGCAGCAAAAAAATGATAGTAGCAAGCACCTAAAAGAAAGTTTGGGATTAATTATTTCTTTAAGTATTTGGTTTTGGACTAATTTTGGGGTTTTTTTTGCTTCTATAGGGACACCAGGGTCCTCCAGGGCCCCCAGGACCACCAGGACCCAAAGGAGAAAAGGTATGAAGATGGATTATAGTGTCTCACAGTTTGAGTAATTATAAAGGGAGGAAATGTTCACTGTTTTCTACAGCATGCAGCAAAAGCCACTGTTTGCAATATTTATTATATTGTGAGCGAGCAGAAGAAGAAATGCAAAACTGGAGAAATGGATCATTCAGAGGCAGGGTCTGAACTACACGGCTGAATCGTTTCAGGTTTAAAAACACAAGGTACCCATTGTGAGAAGCACATTCTGTTGTATCAGATGTGAGCACTGCTGACAGAAATGATCAGAGTGCAGCCAGCTAAGTACTTGCTTAGCTTTAACCTTGTAAGTACACCCATGGATTTTGCTGAAAGTCCAGCTAAGAAGGCCAAAAGCGTGTGCTTAATATAAGATGTTAGAGGCAGGATGTGGCCTCAGTGCTGCTCTTTCAGTGTCAAATTCACTGTTGTTCTTCTAAGCCTCGAATTCTGCAAACAGATTTGTGTCCCGACTGAAGTCTGTGGCCCCAGGCAGGTACAAGATTAGTTTGGAGCTGCACCTGACAGAGAAACACATTCTTACATTAGGGACGGCGTTGCATTGAATACTGCTAATAGGCAATTAGTGGTGATAACATAAATTGGTTCTGATATGATTTTCAGAAACAATAACTGAAAACTACATTATTGGAAGCTCAGTGTCTAGCTTGCTTGATTGCTTCTGAGAAAGCACTTTGATGCTCATTTGAAAACCTTCCTCATATTTAAAATGATGCCTCTGCATTAAGTATCGGTATTAAGTCATCTGGAATTGGTAATTTTTGTCTATTAGTTTGGATGGCAGTTGTTTCATATTTAGAATTCAGCAGAGTTCAGGTTGACTGCTGGAGTCTTCTGTGCACTCAGTTGTCTATTTTAAGTGTATTTCTCAAAACAGTGGAAGAAATTTTCTCTTTTCCTCTTGTCAAATATCCTGTTTATCCTCTTTTTTCATTAAATAAAGAAATGGTTCCATGGACATTTTTCAAATACTTTGGGTTTTTTATAGTTGCCTTTCGTAACAGAGCAAATACTTAGGTTTTTTTTTTAATCCTAAATGTCTTTAGGGCATTTAGATGCATGTTAAAATGGAGTTGCCATTTCCACTCTATTAGAACTATAAGCATCCTTTTCACTTCTAGCATCTACACAGTATGCTTTCTGGGTGTCTATTAGCATTTGAACATGTGTGCATTCTGGATGAGATTGAATATCCAGGTTAATATTTTTCATCCTTCTCTTTGTTTTAGGGTTACCCAGGTGAAGACAGCACAGTTCTTGGACCACCCGGGCCCATAGGTGAACCAGTAGGTCTTTCTTTCTCCAAAAACTTCTCTTAGTGCCTCTCCAGACAAGAGACAATGCAGGCTCTTTCTGAAACCTTATATCACTGTCTCAGGAGTCAGTGCCCCCTTGTACAAAAATGTGGAACGATGGACCTTTAATTGGTAATCCCTCCATGAAAAATGCGGTCATGTGCTTTTTCCAGCTTCAGAGCGTGTGCCCTGTGTTTAATTACACTAATGCCATCAGTCTGTGTTTAGACCAGCACTTTTTGGAGCTGAATTTTACCCTCTGTGTTTATCCTAAATTATACCTAATTGCTTTACTAACCAGAAACATGTTTTGACTTACTTCATTATCACTACAAAGCTAATTTAGCTGATTCAGAGGGCACCGCGTTTTGTAACCGTTTTTTACTAAATTCATACGTGGGCGCTCGCTCTCTGCAGCAATTTTGAGCAGATCTAATAAATAAAATGTCATCTCACAATCTTATTAAAAGCGTTTCATGTCCAGGCTTTGATTGTGCCAGATGTAATACTCATACGGCCTGCTTCTCCTCAGATTAACCTTAATATTTATCCCTCACCACCTCAAAAGGCAGGACCACAAGACCTTGATGGAACTGAAGGCAGAGTCTGGACTAGGTTCATAACTTAATTATGGAAATGCATGAGAGAAGAAACTCCAGCCCATTCTGCTGTAGCCAAACTGGCTCTGTGATGCTGACTGATCAGACCTTTCAAGCAGGGCCTTCCCACCTTGTGGGTTCCCTCTAGGAAACGTGCCATGAGGCTGCCGAAACCTTGGGGAGAACACAAGGAGTTGCATAGCAGTGTCTGTTGGTGGACGTGCACTAGAAGTGGCTGATCTGTTCATTTCTGAACTGAAATAACACATTGCAGTTACTGATGCCTGGCCAGCTTTTCATTATGTGCTTTTACTTAAGATATAGGTGGGGGAAAAGGCAGTCCCTTATTATTTCATCTAATGATTGGCTGAAAGTCTTGGCCATTCGTGCTTTCTGTGGGCATCATCCCCTATCCCATCGTTCTCCTTTGACTGACGTTTGGTCCATTTGCTGCAAGGAGAGCTAAAATTCTGGGGAAAAATCCCGTTTCTTGTGGGACTGCAGTAAGGCCCTTTCCCTGCAGTTAAGGCAGTGAAGTGTCTAATTGCAGCAGGAAGAACCCCGTGACACACAGATCACACCATTCCGTCTGCTCCTGTGCAGCTCTCATACATGTGAGGCATGCTGAGAGATTGAAATTGCCTTTTTATTAGAACAAAACAAAAGTTAAAGCAGATTCTGGGCATAAGAAGTCATTTCAGAAAAGAACCCCATTTTTCAAGTGTTGTCTTACAGAAACCATAAAGGAGCTTTCCTTGCATGTCTTGAAAACAAAGTCTCTTCATTTATCTGTGAAGATTTTTAGTTCAGATACATATATGGGTACAAACCTGGAGAAGTTCTGCTGAGGCCAATACTCCTACTTTATTTGTGACCATGTAAGATCTATCTTTTAGCTTCCAGTCTTCAGTTATTTTAGGCAGTGTCTACTGTCTGGCTGCAATGCATGTTGCTTAGAAAAAATTGTGTTTATTCCTTTAAACAAGCCAAGTTCAATATTTGTAATCCTCAGTTCCCTCTCGATGGTTATCCTGTTTTGAGAGGAATCCCAGCTTTATTTCTGTACTTCACTTCAGGATTGTTTCAGCCCAGCTGTTACATTTTGCTCTTTGATTTCCTCTCCAGGGTCCTAGTGGTGAGCGTGGAGACAGAGGAGAACCTGGCGATGAGGGCTACAAGGTAATGCCGCTTGGTTTTCATTCTTTGGTTGGATGTGGCACGCCGTGTATGCATGTGGAGGGCTGTAGCAGAGGTCTGTTCTCTCACAAGAGGGCAGAGAAGCACTTGGTGGTGCCTCGCTGCACTGACGAGCACCTGGAACACACTGGAGCATCTTTCACATGAGAGGAAGCTGGGAGAGCTGGGACTCCTGAGCCATCACAGAGGAGGCCTGGGTGATCTCAGTGTGTGTAAATACCTGATGGGAGGGAATGATGAAGGAGCCAGACTCGTCTCAGCATTATTCAGTGACAGCACAAGAGACAAAAGGCACAGACTGAAGCACATGAAATTCCTTTTGAATCTTGCTTTTTACTGTGAGGATGACTGAGCACTGGAATGGGCTGTCCAGAGAGGCTGTGGAGTCCCCACCTGTGGAAATACTCAAAACCTGACTGGCCATGGTCCTGGACTGCCTGTTCTACCTGTCTGTGCTTGAGAGGAGATCATCATTAATGAGGGTGCCCTCATTCCTGGGGATCCATTGGGAAAGGGCAGTGTCAGGAGGAAGGAGCCAGGCTCTGCTCTGGGATGGCCAATGCCAGGACAAGGGGCAATGGTCCCAAGCTGGAGCACAGGAGGTTCAAGCTGAAGATGAGGCCAAACTTTGTGAGGGTGAGGGTGGCAGAGCATGGCCCAGGCTGCCCAGAGAGGTTGTGGAGTCTCCTTGTGTGGAGACCCCCAAAGCCCTGAGGTGTTCCTGTGTGACTGCTCTGGTGATCCTGCTCTGGCAGGGGTTGCACTGGGGGAGCTTTGCAGGTCCCTTCCAGCTCCTCATATTCTGGGATTCTGTGATCTGGATCTCAAGAGATCCCTTTCAACCTAAACAATGCTCTGATTCTGTGATAATGTATTAACATTTTGCTCTGAAATTTAATTACTATTTCTTTCTAAATCTAATCCTAATAATTGTTCATTAATTCTATTCAGTGTCTCAGCAAATACAAAATGGGTGGTAACTTGTGCTAATCACCGATGCAGTTTGTTTGCTGAAATACAAAAGAGACAGTCCTTGACGTGGAACATCCTGATTGACACAGATAATACAGGTGGACATAGTGATAAATCCAGGAACTGAATATGATCTGTGCTCACAGAAGTGTTCAAACAATACAAGATTCCCACTTGCAGTTTGGAGTTGAGGATTCCAAAGAAGAAAACCTCCCTAGGGTCTGATCTCAGGAGAGCTGAGCATACTTTGTCTAGGCCATGCCAGTGGAGCTGGGGCCACCAGCACCTCCCAAAATGGACTGTACAGGGAAATCTGTGGCTCATTGAGCATGACGTCCTGAGTTGCCTGTACTGCAATGTGCTGTATTTTCTGCTTCCCAGGGTCACACAGGTCTCCCAGGGCTTAGAGGACCTATTGGACAACAGGGGCCTCCAGTAAGTGTTTCAAACAAGTGAGATTTCTCTACTGGCTCTTGAAAACCCATTTTCATCTGCATTGAAATTATTCTCTTTCATTTATTTAATGTATGTTCTTTCCAAAGGGAGAGCCAGGTGAACTGGGAGAGCAAGGACTGAAAGGAGAAAGAGGGTCAGAAGTAAGTAGAAAAATGAAAAGGATTTTACAGCTCTGGTCTGTCAATGAAGCCTCCTGGTACTGCACTTTCAAAGGCACCTGGAAATAAGGAGTTTGCTACAGAATAGTAGAGGAGTAATGACAGAGTCATGAAGAAGATCACAGAGTAAATATTTCCCTATAGAAATAGTGGTTCTCCTTGGTAGTGCATTGAAAATTGCCAAAATATTTTATATTCTCCCAGGGGGTGACTTTCATTGCTTGTTGAGATTTCAAAATATTTAAGCTAAAAGCTTTCTTACACCACCAATTGCCATTGCAGCTTAAATGAGATATTTGGTCTGAGAAGTTCCACAGTGCAACTCCGTTAGAGTTTCAGAATTTTCTAGGTAAATACAAGGCTCTGTGGTAGATTAGGAATGGGGAACGAGAAAGGAAAAGTGATGTGCTTGTCAGCCTGTAATCTACCCGTACTGCCTTTGACGAACTGCTCGCAGCACGGGATAAAACCAGGCGTTTCTCTGTCTTCCTTGGAGAACGTTCTCTGTGTGCTGCAAATGCCCCTCAAAGTACGACTGCCATCTTCAAATACGGAACCGATATCCAACCTGGAGCAACTCGTGAGAGCCTAAAGGTGTATGCAAAGACATTAATAGTGGAAACATTCATAGACTCCTAACTGCAGTGGCATGGCTATAGCAAGCCTTACAAAACCAGTCCCATAAACAGAAATGTTGAATAGTCTGGGTTTACTTTATGTGGATTCAGAAATTTTAATGAAAACTTTATAAAGTTCTTTATATATACACATCCCAGTTCTGACTTCTTTAACAAAAAGGCATCAAATTAAGGAATAGAACACGATTTTGCTGATTTTATCGTATTTACATGAATTATAAAACATTTACCCGTGTTCACTTTATTGCATGAACAGTATTGCAGCATAGTAGCTTAGCATCACTGTTGCTATAAGAACAATGTTTAAAATAATCAATCCAGAAAATCTGGGAAGCTTTTTTCTCCTTGATCTATGCTGACAAGTGGTGTTCTTGTCCCTGCTGTCTGAGTGGTTTTATCTCTTAAAGGCAGGATAAAATTCATGCCATAGCTCTTGATATTCTGTCAAGAATATCCTATAAATGAAATTCTGAGATGATTTTGACCCATTCTGAACTTTTCTGGCTCGATGCTTGGCCTCCTGTGTCATTCAACCACTTACGAGAATGTTGTCTGCTGTCAGAGTCATAGTGAAAAGCTTTTTATGCCTCTTGTTCTGAAAACTGCACTTTACCAATTCAGGAAACAGAAAAATATGTACAATTCTACCAAAAACTTACTCACTTCTACTTGAAAAACTTTCTGCTGTCTCCTGAAATGGAAATAATCTGGTCCAAAGCCAGGCAATGCCAACATGCGTACGAGAGGGGAACAGTTCTCAGCTCTTCCTAGGGGACTGAGTTTAAGACATTTGTCAGTTCACAAGTATTTATAACTTGTGTATAATTTATTTATAACTATATAAATTGGATATAATAACTTGTATATAATTTATTTATAACTTTTAGGGACCCACAGGGAAGAAAGGAGCAACGGGTCAGGCTGGCAAACCTGGAATTCCTGTAAGTAACAAGATTCTACAGCTTATCTTGGGGTTAGAAAAGAAAGAAATAACCGATAGAACAAAAATTGTGTCGTGCCAATGGTACCAGAAAGCCTTGTGCTTACTCTAAAGAACCTTCACGTTATCAAGGAGGTGTGAAGGAACCTTTGTGAAAGAAAAATAATCTTTGAAATTGTGTTAGATTATACTGAATTATGGTCAGCTACTCAACACTTGCAGCTAATGTAACAGCAAGGTCTTTCCCACTTGTAAAGCCACTTAATTAGACAACGTGTGCATGTGGCTCGTTGTCCACGTGCAAGTTACCGCACCATATTACACAGAACAGCACTGCGGGTCACTCCTGGCTCCCATCTGCAGCCTGCGGAAGCCCGGATCCACACTTCCATGGTGGACACAGCTGGCAGATCCCTTGAGGTTCACTTCTTTCTCTCGCCCGCCCTGAGCTGAAGTTGTAATGCTCCTTCTTGGTTTTCTGGAGACAAGCTGAGGGAGCAGAAAGAGCAGGAAGCAGTAGGTGTTCTGTAAACATAAGCCAGAACAAAATGCGTCACGGCTGTTTTGGTCCCCCAGTAAATAATGCCATATTATTGTAAATAACTTTTACTACCTTACATCAAAACAGTGTCGGTAACCAGAGAAACACAGCTGCTTCTCAGAGCTCATACCTGCTGGGCAGAGTGCAGGAAGAGCCTTTTGAAGGCAAGGAGGCTGTTTGGCTTTTGTAAATAATCAGCTCTTCCCCCTGGAGGA